AAAAATCATCAAGTACCCCAAAATAAAGCTAAAGGAATATCTATAAAACAAATGCACAGAAAACTAGAAAACATTGAGAAAATTTTACAAAGACTTAAATATAGGGATATATCGCGGTCATGGATTGAAAAGTTAAATATTGTAACAATGTCAGTTCTGTGTGTGTGTGTATGAAATTTGACAAGCTGATTATAAACTTTATGTGAAAATTTAAAGGTTTGAGAATAGCTAAGATAATTTAAAGAGGACACAAAGTCGAAGGACTTGTACCACAGGCTGTCAAGATACATTGTATTAATACATGAGGCAGTGTGGTAGTGGTACAGTGATAGACCAAATGGAGTCAACACATTGATCCACACACAATTTACGATATAGGTGACCCTGCCAAGCAGTAAGAAAAGGACAAGTTTTCTCTTAATGGTGTAAGGTCAGTTATACAGGTATATATATAAAAAAATATCTTGACCCCTACTTCATGCCATATAATTCCAACTGGACTATAGATCTAACTGCAAAAGGTGAAACAATAAAGCTTCTAGACGTAAATACAGGAGAATAGACAGGCAAAGATTTCCTAACAGGACCCCAAAGTTCACTGACTATAAGTGAAAAGGTGAGGAATTAGACTACATTAAAATTAGGGATTTTGTACATCAAAAAAAAAAATACAAATGGACAAGTTTAACCATGGGATGGGGAAGATATTTGTAAGGCATGCAACATTAAAAAAATTAGTATCCAGAATTTAAAAATGCCTACAAATAAATAAGGAAAAGGTAACTCAATATAAAAACTGGCAAGAGATTTACTTGAATAAGCACTTCACAAAAGAAGATATCCAAATGACCAACAAATACACAAAACTCTTACTAATCAACACAAAAATGCAAATTAAACCACAATGTGATACTACCACCAAACCCATTAGAATGACTGAAAGGAAAGAGATTAACAGGGTTAAATATTGGAGAGGACATAGAGCATAGAAGTGTTCATACACTGTTGGCGGGAGTAAAAATTGATATAATCATCTTGGAAAACTGTTTGTCAATAACCATTAAGGTTGAACATAAGCATATCCATTACCCAGTAAATCCACTCCTAGTTATATAGCAAACAGCAATTATACAAATACATGCCAAACTTCATGTACAAGAATGCCCGTAACATCATTATTCATAATCACCCCAAACTAGAAACAACGCAAATGTCCATCATCAGCAGAATGGATTAAAAAAAAACAAAAAAAAAACGCCACATTCATAAGATGGGCTGTCATACAACAGGGTTCAGCAAAATCTTTCTGTTAAAGACTCAATAGTAAATATTCTAGACTTTGAGTGCCATATGGTCTCTGTTGCAACTACTCAACTCTGCTGTGGTAGACTGAAAACAGTCATAGATAATATGTAAACATGAGCCAATATACATGGCTGTGTTTCAAGAAAACTTTATCTGACAGCCTTTGCCATGTACAATGGAAATTAAGGAACTATTGCTACATGAAAGAACATGGATGAATCTCACAATGCAATGCGAAGCAAAAGAAAGTTTTATGAAAGGTGGAGAAGGAGATTGGGAGGGGCTTGAGGGAGGATTCTGGGGTGCCACTAATATTCTTTTTAAAAACCTGGGTGGTAGCTTCAGTGTGTTTACTTTGTGGTCATTCATTGAGCAGTCCAATATGATTTGTGTACATTTATACACATACATAAATTATAATAAACAACTTTATGAAATAATAATTATTTGAAATCACTAAAAGATGACTTAAGGATAATCTCGAGATCTTTTGCTTTGGTAAAAGCAAAGAAGGTAGCCAGATAACATCAGAGAATGTATTTTCGTAATGTATTTTGGGGTAACTTTAATTTTACTTTGTGTATAGGATACTTGACAAAAGTGGGTGGCTGTTTACTCCTCCGAGATGAAATTGAAGTCATGCTTGGGGGTAAGTATTGAGGCTGTAATGAAATCTGTATGCATAGGTCTAAATAAATTTACTGTGTATGAGTCTAGTCACATGTGAGTTCTACAACAGTCCCAGATGTGGGGAGGGTGGTAGTGGTGGGTGGGGAGTTATGGGGAAATCAACCAAAAGACTAGGTTAAAGGGCATCTTTTTACTCTTTCTATTCTATTTCTCTCATTTTCTCTCCCTGTGTCACTCTCTTCATTTGTCCCTCTCATTGTCTGAGACCTAACTATCATCCTAGAGACCTTAGGAACTACAGAAAGTTGAGGATTCCTTCATTCATTCATCCAACAAACATGTTTTCAAAATCTCTTATGTGGCAACACTATCCTAGCTGTTGGGGACAGAGCAGCAAATAAAGCAAAGTCTCGTCCCTCAGTGCATTTACATCTTGGTAGCTAGCAATTGCACAATACATTTGCAGAGGAAGAACTTAAGGGTAATATGATTCTATCAAAATGTTGGGTCTTAGGGATCTCTCTATAAGCCTCTGTCTATTGCCCCATTGGGGTCAGAATTACAAACAGGTGAGTTATAAAATAAAATGGCTGCCTTCTTTCCTTACAGTTTTAAGTTCACAGCAAAATTGAGCTGGACGTACAGAGATTTCCCACGTACCCTCTGGCCCCACCCATGCACAGCGCCCCCCATTATCAACATCACCCACCGGAGTGATACATTTGTGACAATTTATGGACCTACACTGACACATCATTATCTTCCTTCCTTTTTGATTCATTCATCACTCATCGATTCAGCATATATTTAACTACCTGCTAAATGCCAAGCACTAGAATTCTTTCTCCATCTTTCTCATAATCTTTTCCTTCTTTTTATCCTCCTCCTCCTTCTGCTTCTTCTCCTCTCATTCTTTTCTCAATCTCCACTTTTGGCTATTTTTTTTATTAGAAAAAAAATAAGTACCTGCATCCCTGTCTCAAGTCGGTGGCTGGGAGGAGCTGGGGAATGTCTTCTGTTCTTTGTGCTACAGGAGATGGCTCAACAGACCTGTCCAGGTGGAGGTCCTCAGTGGAGGTCCTGGGACTGTGGGCAGAAATGGGATGGTGGGAGATGGGACAATCGGAATCATCAACTGTAGTTAAATGACAATAGCCTAGAACTGAAAATCATCCCTTTAAAAGCTCCGTATTTCTGCTTGTGATTAGGAAATGGTGTTTTGAGATGGCAGTCTGCCATTTTCCTTATCTGCTGGCAAATTAATAAACTCCTCTTTCCTTCTCCTCAAAAAAAAAGAAAGAAAGAAAATAGTAATTTCTCACAGTCAACTATCTGGATATAATGATTAGCATTTTGGTATATGTATTATCCCAGATGCTTTTAAAGAATATAAGCTATTACATATTTAATTGTAAACTATCATAACTGTTTTATAACTTTTTTTACTTACCTTTATATTGCAAACATCTTTCCATGCCAAGAAATACGGATCTACATCGTGTTAATATATGTATACTATTTCATTTTATGATGCTCATAATTTTATGCCGTTCCCTATTAATGAACATTTAGGTTGATTTCAACTTTTTTATAATTATGACCAATATAACGTATATATGTTCATGAACCTCTCCATGAGTATCTATTTATGCTATCGAGGAGAATGCTTAGCACATAAAAGGTGCTCAATAAATGTTTAGTGACTATTTCCATTTTCCTTTCCTGGGGTCTGCTGGGGACAGAGCAGGGGCGGGGAACCTGCAGCCTCTAGGTCCTTAAGCGCAGCCTTTTGACTGAATCCAAATTTTACAGAACAAATCCTTTTATTTTTATTATTACA